CCAAAAAACAATGATAGGCCATTGTTAGTGTTATTACTGTCAGCAGCATTATTTTGAAGTCAGTCACAATAAAATTCTACAAACCTGATTCAATCGAATGGACTGATCTTGAGAAGAACTGATAAACACACCCTTGTCATCACCTACTGCCAGGGTAGACAAGGCAAGAAATGTAAGGTATAGTCATTAGATTGAGGACACTTACCAAAAGCCAGGGCTGCAGGCTGGTAAGACTGCAGTCATTTTGAAGAAATGAAAATGAAGCAGGCTTTTTAAGGAGTATATGTTAAAAATCTATCACTCATATTCAGGTATGTCTCACTAGCAGTTTAATCTTACAGACCTAATAACTAGAAGCTGGAGAGTTATGGCCCACTGGGAGTATAGAAACTTACATGCAGTTACTTTAGAAAAAGAAACAGTGCTTGGACATCTACAACAGGACTCTTATTGTCGCTGGAATCGCAAATACATTACTCACATCCCCCTTAACATGGATTCAATTACTGTTTAACACTTACCAATATCAATCCAACACACACTCTTGACAGGTGATGTGTGACCATCATAGGTTAAAATGCATGTACCTATAAAATAATGACTCACAATAAGTACACTTATACAAAAGGTTAGTGGTTTAGGGGCTTCTCACAAGAAACCAGACTGGCTTTCATTCTGAAATGAGTTTGCTCCATCTTCATGTTTCTTAGTCCGTATTCGTTTACATGATACCGAAATGACATTTCATTCCCGCACAAGTCATTCCAGAATGAGTTCCATGATTCCGGTTTTCATTCCAAATGAAAATCCTGTTCTGGTAAGAAATTTCTTTCTTTGTTCCCAATAGTAAATCGCAAATCATGTGGTTTGAGATGAGTGGCACTCGCAAATCTGATCTGGTGCGAAAACCACACAAGCAAAAACACCTTAGGATGAGCTGTTCAATTTTATCATGCAAAATCAGCACAAATTTCACTCTGGAACAGAACTCACTCCGGAATGAAAGTAATTTCAGTATCATATAAACAGTCCTAGGGTGCAAAGAAAATCATTTTTACTGCTTGCCATTCGGGCAAGCTGAAGCTAGCATTTACTAGCCCAGACGTCATTTCAACTAGCCCCAAAAACGTTTTGTTCTTCTGTTATTCAAATTCCTCATAAAACATCACTTGCCCGTCGAGCAAGTTAAAAACAGAATTCACTAGCCTGATAGCAAAATCCACTAGCCCCGGGCTAACGGACAGTACTTTCTTTGCACGCTGAGTCCCTTTGTTTTTGACAATAAAGTGGCATCTGAAACCAGGTTTGCGAGCGTGCAAGAATGAGAATGTCACCAAACCCATGTGTTAACTGAAACTACTAGTTTCAGTGGTTTCAGTGGATGCAATCCACTGATCACCAATCATACTAATCTATGCTATCCAAGCGCCTATTTGAAAAACAGAATGTATTATTTATGTTCGTCTTTGCCATCAAATAGACCAGTTTCAATACATTAAGATTCAAACTTCACTAAGAGGCTAGGGGGAATAAAACAAATGAACTGTACCTTAAGCGTCAATGTAATTTTTTCTTTTGTTATATTCCTCTAAGCCTCACAGTCAATGTGAATTTAAAGTACCATTAATATTTCAAACTTGGTCCATTGATGCTGTGAAATAGCATTTGCAAACATCCAGTATCATCCAAACAAAATGTCAAGCATTTAATTTTTTTTTTTTTGGAGTACCTTGAGCTGGTACATTCAAATACGTACATGTAACTAAATAATCATATATTTGGTTTAAAGATTAAGGTGAACTCACCAGTGAAATCCCACACATGTACATTTCCATCATAGCTACCACTAAGAATACTGCATAGGGAAACAGAAAAACACAAGAATAAAAAAAAAGAAATAAAAAATCATTTGTCAGTTGGTTTTATAAAGACAAAAGGCAATGGCATCATCAGCCTTTTTGTGCATTCTTATTGACATGCACAGGAATATATTAACACCGATGATGCCATTGCCTTTTGTCTTTATCTCATGAATAAAATGCGGGGGAAAACCTCTCTGCAATGGCCACCTCTTTATAATGACCATTATAACGGAACTAGATGTTGTCTAATAAAGCCGCCATTTTGGTGACCTCACGTTTCAAGATTGGCTGCTCAGGAGAGTTTCACTCACTCTCCTGTTTACACTGGTTTAGGAGAGTGAGTAAAACTGATTTCATGTGTGCTATGATGAGCATAATAAGTAGTATGGTAAGGAACGAATTATCCCAGCCTTTTTTGTGCATTCTAATTGATGTGCACAGCACAGCTGTAAGTTCTTCTTTATCACAATTTATTAACATACCACTTTTTACAAACAGCCACAGAGCTCACCCAATCATCATGAAGAAGGCAGTTGTCAGGCCTAGGAGCTGGATGCTTCTCAACATATTCTATTTCTACAACACTTTCCTGCAGAAAAGTGGTACAAGTTCTAAATAAAAACATTTCTAAAACTAGT